GGCCACTAGTTGGCGCTAACGAGTTTTACGGCTCTGTAATCACGTGGTGTTGCACACATCCCCACAAAATGCATATCATTTGATAGATCTCCTCATGATGAACAACTTTGCCTCTAGAACCATTGCTGTCAATCAAACCGTTCATTAAATATTCACGAATATGTTAAAAACCTACTTTTGCGAACTAGTCCCTGGTTTTTCGCCCGATTGGAACCAGACCAGTCTAGGACAATTCTCTGGACTCTCTAGATCAATAATTATTGAAAAAAAGTTGAAATTTGCCATTTGGTTCATTATAACAGGATCATTTATAAAAAGGGGCGTGTCAAAACACACTCAAAAGCCTATAAATCATAAATAAAAACTCAGAACTTCACAAAAATTGATGAGCATATGTGTCATACCATGGTGAAGAAGCATGCAAAGTTTCATGGAGATCGGACAATAGGTGGCGCTATAACTGTTGAAAAGCTTTAAAACCATACATTTCCTATGGTAAATTGCCTGTATTGGCTGTAAATGGTCTTTTCCATCTATGATCGTATAATTTTCATATCTTAATGTTTAAAACCAGTGCAGTACAATTATCTGGACTCTCTAGATCAATAATTATCAGAAAAGGTATAATTACTTCATTTGGATGGCTATAATAGAGTGTAAATCGGATGGCTATAACAGCTATAACAGCTTGGATGGCTATAACAGCCAAAAAGTGGTATTTTACTGCCCCCTGCTGTCATTTCATCATACTACTCTCTAATATTTTTATATATAATTGATATTTAGACTTTATTAAATCATTATTTTAACATTTACAATCACATTTTGTCAAAATTCATCTATTGCTCTGTACTCTCTAGAACAATAATTATAGGAAAATGTATAACTTCTTCATTTGGATGACTATAATAGGGTCACTTCAATATGTAGCCTTGAGCGAAAGCCAATATCTTTTCAATAAATGCTCATAGCTTTTTAGCTATATCATCATATAACATGGTATATCAAGGTAAACTATGGAAAATCATGTTAGATTCATGGTAAATCATACTGGAACATGGTAAATCATGAAAAATCACACTGAAATGTAGTATATCATGGTAAATCATGTTTGCTACATAAAACTTAATGTCTTTTAAAGCTTTTGTGCTTAACGGCCTTAAAGGCCTTAACTGCTTGAACACCGCTAAATGCTGCTAGCAGCTTTAATTATTATTATTATTATTATTCTTCTGCCGTAAAACGCATTGTGCAGACCAAACCGTAAGAGCTAGAGACTTGAAACTTTGTCAGATGGTAGTACAAAAATCGAGGAGAGGTTATCAAATTATGAGCCCAATTGGCCCATAGGTGGCGCTATAGCAACCAATTGCGCGTAACTGGTCATAACTCCTAGACCGTAAGTCGTAGACTCAAGTGTCTTATATCACTGGAAAGCTGGTCACCGGACGAAAAAAACGTATATCTCCGATTTCATTTCCGTCATGATAGATTTTCCGCCATTTTGAATTTTGTCAAAAAACGACTTTTGCGAACTAGTCCCTGATTTTTCGCCCGATCGGAACCAAACCAGTGCACAAATGTTCTGTGGAGTCTGAATATAAATTATAATCGAAAAAATGTTGAAATTTCGATTTCCGGTCGCTAGGGGGCGCAAAAAGAACGTTGTGGGAGGAGCCTATTTTACTAAAATGGCTATAACTCCAGAAGTAAATTAGGTAGGCTCACCAAACTTGGTAAAGGTATGCATGACTTCAATCTGAGGTCACAGTAAAAAAATCGCGTCGATCTAACACTAGGTGGCGCTATAACATGAAAAAAACATATAAAGGACTGACCGTTAGTCCGATTGACTTGAAAATTGGTATGCAGTGTCTTGGTCCAAGGCCCCATGTATGTCTATAAGGACATTGGCGTATCTCAAAAAACATGGCCGCCATCAACCAATTAAGTTTGAGCCCCTATGAGACGAGGTTAACGGAGGCCAATCGGAACGAAACTCGATGGGCATGTTCGACTCATGGCCTAAGAGGTCTGTAAGAGTTTTGAAAGAAATCGGCCACTAGTTGGCGCTAACGAGTTTTACGGCTCTGTAATCACGTGATGTTGCACACATCCCCCCAAAATGCATATCATTTGATAGATCTCCTCATGTTGAACAACTTTGCCTCTAGAACCATTGCTGTCAATCAAATCGTTCATTAAATATTCACGAATATGTTAAAAACCTACTTTTGCGAACTAGTCCCTGGTTTTTCGCCCGATCAAAACCAGACCAGTCTAGGACAATTCTCTGGACTCTCTAGATCAATAATTATCAAAAAAAAGTTGAACTTTGCCCTTTGCTTTGCTATAACAGCATCATTTATGAAAATAGGTGTGTCAAAACACACTCAAAAGCCTATAAATCATAAATAAAAACTCAGAACTTCACAAAAGTTGGTAAGCATATGTGACATAACATCATGAACATGCATGCAAAGTTTTATGGAGATCGGACCATAGGTGGCGCTATAACTGTTGAAAAGCTTTAAAACCATGTATTTCCTATGGTAAATTGCCTGTATTTGCTGTAAATGGTCTTTTCCATCTATTATCATATAATCTTTATATTATAATGTTCAAAATCAGGGCAGTACAATTCTCTGGACTCTCTAGATCAATAATTATCGAAAAAAAGTTGAACTTTGCCATTTGGTTCATTATAACAGGATAATTTACAAAAAGGGGCGTGTCAAAACACACTCAAAAGCCTATAAATCATAAATAAAAACTCAGAACTTCACAAAAATTGGTGAGCATATGTGACATAACATGCTGAGGAAGCATGCAAAGTTTCATGGAGATCGGACAATAGGTGGCGCTATAACTGTTGAAAAGCTTTAAAACCATGTATTTCCTATGGTAAATTGCCTGTATTGGCTGTAAATGGTGTGTTCCATCTATGATCATATAATATTTATATCATAATGTTCAAAATCAGTGCAGTACAATTATCTGGACTCTCTAGATAAATAATTATCAGAAAAGTTATAACTTCTTCATTTGGATGGCTATAATAGGGTCACTTCAATATGTAGCCTTGACCAAGAAAGCCTATATCTCTTCAATGAATGTTCAGATCTTCTTAAAAACAAGTCAGAACATGTGACTCTAAATAAGATAAGAAATAATGCATCTATAACAGTTAAAAAGGTTAAAGTTATAACATAATGGCATATTAAGCCAATAAGTGGTATTCTACTGCCCCCTGCTGTTTAAAATAGTCATTTTGTCATGCTACTAACTACTAATATTCTATAATTCTTATTTAGAGTTTATAAAATCACTATTTTAACATTTACACTCACATTTTGTCAAAATTCATCTATTGAAGCATTGTGTCACAGACAAATGTTAATCCTGAATGAGAGACAGTTCAAATCACTTTATCTACAACAGAATGTGTGTGTGTAGTCCCATGTTTCATAATAAATCCTGAATAATCTGATTAATAGCTTGCAAAGACATATTTGAATGGTCTATAAGCATTTCATATATTTTCATAATGACGTGTGTGCGTGTGTGTGTGTGTGTGTGTGTGTGTCTAGATATGAATGCAAAAAGACTTTATTAATAAGTAGAGTGGCCAGCAGAGGGCAGTAGAAGACCACTTATTGGCTCACTTTCATTTTAACAGCCTTGAGTTTCAACAACATTCTGAACTAAAGCAAATCATGCTAGAAAAGGGTAAATCATGTAAAGCATACTACAAAATGGAATATCATGGTAAAACTATGGTAAATCATGCTAGATTCCTGGTAAATCATACTAGAACATGGTAAATCATGGTAAAAGTATGGTAAAGCATGGTAAAACTATGGTAAATCATGGTAAAACTATGGTAAATCATGCTAGAATCATGGTAAATCATACCAGAGCGTGGTAAATCATGGTAAACGATGGTAAATTATGCTACAACAGGGTAAATCATGTAAAGCATACTAGAACATTGTGAATCATGCTAGATTCATGGTAAATCATACTAGAACATGGTAAATCATGGTAAAACTATGGTGAATCATGCTAGATTCATGGTAATTCATACTAGAACATGGTAAATCATGGTCAAACTGTGGTAAATCATGTTAGATTCATGGTAATTCATACCAGAGCGTGGTAAATCGTGGCAAACGATGGTAAATTATGCTACAACAGGGTAAATCATGTAAAGCATACTAGAACATTGTGAATCATGCTAGATTCATGGTAAATCATACTAGAACATGATAAATTATGGTAAAACTATGGTAAATCATACTAGATTCATGGTACATCATATTAGAACATGGTAAATCATGGTAAAACTATGGTAAATCATGCTAGATTCATGGTAATTCATACCAGAGCGTGGTAAATCATGGTAAACGATGGTAAATTAGGCTACAACAGGGTAAATCATGTAAAGCATACTAGAACATTGTGAATCATGCTAGATTCATGGTAAATCATACTAGAACATGGTAAATCATGGTAAAACTATGGTAAATCATACTAGATTCATGGTAAATCATTCTAGAACATGGTAAATCATGGTAAAACTATGGTAAATCATGCTAGATTCATGGTAATTCATACCAGAGCATTGTAAATCATGGTAAACGATGGTAAATTATGCTACAACAGGGTAAATCATGTAAAGCATACTAGAACATTGTGAATCATGCTAGATTCATGGTAAATCATACTAGAACATGGTAAATCATGGTAAAACTATGGTAAATCATGGTAAAGCTATGGTAAATCATACTAGAACATGGTTTATCATGGTAAAATTATGGTAAATCATGCTAGTATCATGGTAAATCATGGTAAACGGTTTTCCATCTATTATGTCAGTGGTTACATGCTTGCTTGCTTGCTAAATGTCTTTAATGCTTATGTGCTAAAAGGGCTTAACTGCTTGAACACCGCTAAATGCTGCTTGCAGCTTTAATTTTCTTTGTGTTTGTGTTGTTTAGGAATAATGTCCAAACCTCAGCCGAGGGAACAAACACACGACCTCTGACCTCTGACGACACGCTCTTCGTCATGGAAACATCAGCTCACAACACATGATGATGATGATGATGATGATGATGATGATGATGATGGACTCCAAACAGAAAAAGGGGGGAAATCTTTGCCTTACAACTGACTCAAAATCTTTCATTAATGCCAGTTTATTTATAGTCCAGCGCCCCCTTGTGGACATCGTAGGAAACGCACGAAATGAATTTCTGTTTTTCTTTTAAAATTTCACCTGGACATTTTTCTTCGCAGGTTTTGTGAGATTCACACATAATGATTTTAATCTCTACGCAAAGAAAAGCAGCTAAACACGAGAGTCATTGGTTTTTAAGTCCTGTACATGAAGAACTCAAACTAGCCCGGGTGAACCGACACGTTTCTACTTGAATCATAAATGTATTTTTATTGTTTCACGGTTGTTGTTCTCGCACTAATAGATTCAGCATTATATATGCAAAACGATGCCACTGTTTGAAGGGCTTTTGGTAAGTTTGTAAAGCTAGCGGTTTATCTCTCCGCAACCGGTACTGAAACTCGCACAGTAGAAATCCCTCGTCTTGACCTTTGACCTTTTCTTATATTTGACCCTGAGAGGTCGTAGTGTTTGTAGGAGTGCGTAACGGGACGGGATCGAACCAGCAGATGCAGAACAATAAATGCAATTGATGTGATTTAATTTTGAGCTTTTATTTTGGAATAAAATATATTGTTGAGATCAGCGCTTTTTGTGTTTTGTGTTTATTGTTGAAATATCACAATAATCATTTGTGTCTTGTTTCCATGCGCCTGTGTAATTAGATTGAGACCGAGTTCATGTAAACTTCAGGTGTTAATGTGATTATGCCCATAAACTGAGGAGTGACCATAATCACAGTTTCTGATGACCTTTTTCTTGACCTTTTTTACTTATAAAATATATTTCTGGTGTTTTCTGCTAAAATAACAAAGCAATTTTTTTTTTTTTTTTTTTTTATTACTTTTTTTTATTTACAGAAACTAGGAGTGGCAATATGTTAAAATAATTATAAAATAAATTCTGTAATTCCAGAAGTTTTAAGAACCATATATATAAACACACACTCACTCACACACACACTACCATTCAAAAGTTTGGGGTCATTTTTTTTTTTTTTTTTTTTTTAAACACTCAGTGTCCACTAGATGTCGTCATCATGCAGTAACACTCAGTGTCCACTAGATGTCGTCGTCATGCAGTAACACGCAGTGTCCACTAGATGTCGTCGTCATGCAGTAACACGCAGTGTCCACTAGATGTCGTCGTCATGCAGTAACACGCAGTGTCCACTAGATGTCGTCGTCATGCAGTAACACTCAGTGTCCACTAGATGTCGTCATCATGCAGTAACACTCAGTGTCCACTAGATGTCGTCATCATGCAGTAACACTCAGTGTCCACTAGATGTCGTCGTCATGCAGTAACACGCAGTGTCAACTAGATGTCGTCATCATGCAGTAACACGCAGTGTCCACTAGATGTCGTCATCATGCAGTAACACTCAGTGTCCACTAGATGTCGTCATCATGCAGTAACACTCAGTGTCCACTAGATGTCGTCATCATGCAGTAACACTCAGTGTCCACTAGATGTCGTCATCATGCAGTAACACTCAGTGTCCACTAGATGTCGTCATCATGCAGTAACACTCAGTGTCCACTAGATGTCGTCATCATGCAGTAACACTCAGTGTCCACTAGATGTCGTCATCATGCAGTAACACTCAGTGTCCACTAGATGTCGTCGTCATGCAGTAACACGCAGTGTCCACTAGATGTCGTCGTCATGCAGTAACACGCAGTGTCCACTAGATGTCGTCGTCATGCAGTAACACTCAGTGTCCACTAGATGTCGTCGTCATGCAGTAACACGCAGTGTCCACTAGATGTCGTCGTCATGCAGTAACACGCAGTGTCCACTAGATGTCGTCGTCATGCAGTAACACGCAGTGTCCACTAGATGTCGTCGTCATGCAGTAACACTCAGTGTCCACTAGATGTCGTCATCATGCAGTAACACTCAGTGTCCACTAGATGTCGTCATCATGCAGTAACACTCAGTGTCCACTAGATGTCGTCGTCATGCAGTAACACGCAGTGTCCACTAGATGTCGTCATCATGCAGTAACACGCAGTGTCCACTAGATGTCGTCATCATGCAGTAACACTCAGTGTCCACTAGATGTCGTCATCATGCAGTAACACTCAGTGTCCACTAGATGTCGTCATCATGCAGTAACACTCAGTGTCCACTAGATGTCGTCATCATGCAGTAACACTCAGTGTCCACTAGATGTCGTCATCATGCAGTAACACTCAGTGTCCACTAGATGTCGTCATCATGCAGTAACACTCAGTGTCCACTAGATGTCGTCATCATGCAGTAACACTCAGTGTCCACTAGATGTCGTCGTCATGCAGTAACACGCAGTGTCCACTAGATGTCGTCGTCATGCAGTAACACGCAGTGTCCACTAGATGTCGTCGTCATGCAGTAACACTCAGTGTCCACTAGATGTCGTCGTCATGCAGTAACACGCAGTGTCCACTAGATGTCGTCGTCATGCAGTAACACTCAGTGTCCACTAGATGTCGTCATCATGCAGTAACACTCAGTGTCCACTAGATGTCGTCGTCATGCAGTAACACTCAGTGTCCACTAGATGTCGTCATCATGCAGTAACACTCAGTGTCCACTAGATGTCGTCATCATGCAGTAACACTCAGTGTCCACTAGATGTCGTCATCATGCAGTAACACGCAGTGTCCACTAGATGTCGTCGTCATGCAGTAACACTCAGTGTCCACTAGATGTCGTCATCATGCAGTAACACTCAGTGTCCACTAGATGTCGTCATCATGCAGTAACACTCAGTGTCCACTAGATGTCGTCATCATGCAGTAACACTCAGTGTCCACTAGATGTCGTCATCATGCAGTAACACGCAGTGTCCACTAGATGTCGTCATCATGCAGTAACACGCAGTGTCCACTAGATGTCGTCATCATGCAGTAACACACAGTGTCCACTAGATGTCGTCATCATGCAGTAACACTCAGTGTCCACTAGATGTCGTCATCATGCAGTAACACTCAGTGTCCACTAGATGTCGTCATCATGCAGTAACACGCAGTGTCCACTAGATGTCGACGTCATGCAGTAACACTCAGTGTCCACTAGATGTCGTCATCATGCAGTAACACTCAGTGTCCACTAGATGTCGTCATCATGCAGTAACACTCAGTGTCCACTAGATGTCGTCATCATGCAGTAACACTCAGTGTCCACTAGATGTCGTCATCATGCAGTAACACGCAGTGTCCACTAGATGTCGTCATCATGCAGTAACACGCAGTGTCCACTAGATGTCGTCATCATGCAGTAACACACAGTGTCCACTAGATGTCGTCATCATGCAGTAACACTCAGTGTCCACTAGATGTCGTCATCATGCAGTAACACGCAGTGTCCACTAGATGTCGTCATCATGCAGTAACACGCAGTGTCCACTAGATGTCGTCATCATGCAGTAACACTCAGTGTCCACTAGATGTCGTCATCATGCAGTAACACACAGTGTCCACTAGATGTCGTCATCATGCAGTAACACTCAGTGTCCACTAGATGTCGTCATCATGCAGTAACACACAGTGTCCACTAGATGTCGTCATCATGCAGTAACACTCAGTGTCCACTAGATGTCGTCATCATGCAGTAACACTCAGTGTCCACTAGATGTCGTCATCATGCAGTAACACTTAGTGTCCACTAGATGTCGTCCTCCTCAGAGCAGCGGTCGCTTATTATTCTCCACTGCTGATGTTCTCTGAAGTTTTTATTCTTTTTTAATAAGCAGTGTTTCCTCAGCTGAACGATCCAGAAACACGTTGAATAGCAGCTCAAGCCACTGCAGAGATGTGTGTCTCTCCCTCACAGAGCCTCACTGCATTATTCACAAATCAAAGATGGCGCTGCGGTGAAGAAAGTCTAAACGCGGATCGTCTGGAATTGATTTGTTGATGATGATTAACATGAGACTTTCTGAGCTCTTGGCGAGTAAAGGCACAGAAATTGTTTGGAATATAAAATAAAAACAACTCGGTTGATTAGAAGTGGAATGAAAAGACCCCTTCCTTATACCCTACTGTAGCAAGATATTTATTATTATTATTTATTTAAACGTATACGGGCCTTGCTTGATAACTGTTTATTTGCATTATGCCGGTGCTGATGTATATATTGATGATATTTTGTTCATTGTGTTTAATAAAAAGGTCTTGGTGAGAGTTTGGCGGTCACGTGACGCTCCCGCTGTTCATGATTGGTTGTGTGTTTCACCTTCGAAATGGATGTCACGTGTGATTCGTCAGAACAGGGTTCAGTCATTTTTCTTCTTCAAGTGATCATGTTTCTTGAGCAGCAAGATGTTATAATGTTTTTGAGTGTCTCCTGCTCACCAAAGCTGCTTTTATTTGATCGAAAATACAGTAAAACATGTGAAATATTATTCCAATGTAAAAGCTGTTCTCTTTGTGAATATACAGTAAAGTGTAATTTATTCCTGTGATCAAAGCTGAATTTTCAGCATCATTACTCCAGTCTTCAGTGTCACATGATCCTTCAGAAATCACTCTAATATGAGGATCTGATGCTCAAGAAACACTCAGAGTTGAAAAGTTGCATATGCTTAGTAATTATATTCATAATATCATCTGCGTCCATCATAAAGAGGCCTGAAGCATCAGATCTCAGTCGCAGCGGCTGCTTTAATATCAATGAGTCGTGTTTCTTTTCCCTGCAGGTTTCCCTCAGATCAGATGAACTCGAGACTCATGTGGAGCACACACACACACACACACACACTCAGCTTTGAAGAAGAATATGATGATGTTTTAATAAGATTTTCTTTCCTGGACCTCGTCCCGGTTTCATTTCAAAGGCAGTGACTTCAGAAACATTTGCTGCTGTTCTGGTTGAAAGTCTCTTCACATCCTAATAGCAATGTATACATATATATATGATTGGACGAACATTTTATGGTCCTAGTCTTCCAAAGACTGTAACCTATGTGTCTATCTATATATACATCGTCTTTGGAAAGGCGTAGGACCATAAAATGTTCGTCCAATCATTGCATTCGGTCCGAATGATGTCATACCTGCAGCAGTCAGGTGGTAC